CACTTCTGAAAAATAAGAAATGGCCTGAAAATAAGAAGCAGCGCATCTTTGGGAGCAAAAGTTAATATAAGACACTGTCTTATTTTCGGGGAAACAGGGTATCAAAACACAACTAGTAATTACTCACCTATAATGCCCAAAGCCCCTTCTTGTTTCAGACCCTATATTCCTCAGACCATTCATCCTTAAAACCCCTAAAGGGGGAGGGAAGGGTGCTCCAGCAGGGCCGCCGGGGTCGGTGGGCAAGTGGGGCAATTTGCCCCAGGCCCCACAGGGGCCCCCACGAGAATATAGTATTCTATAGTATTGCAACTTTTTTTTAATAGAAGGGCCTCCCCCCGAAATTGCTTTGCCCCAGGCCCCCTGAATCCTGTGGGGGCCCCTGTGCTCCAGTATTGAAAGGCCGCCTTCTCAATCAGGCCCCACTCTATTCAGACTTTGTATAAGCTATAACAATTGGCTGAAACTCCAGCAGGAAACCAACAAGCAGCTGGAGCACTGGATTAGTAAGATGCCTGTTAAAAGGATGGATGAGCTGGGAAAGAGGCTGATGAATGAATGGAACTGAAGGCATTCAGCACCTGGGAGAATCAGGCCCTGGAAGCCAATGCCTCGCATGACATCCATGGAGGGGAATCTGTGCTAATTGGCAGACGTGGTAGATAACTGTAGAGCAGCAATGTGGCTTCTCCAGATATTTCCACGCATCACAAAGGGGTTTCCAAACCCTGCATACCTCATGCATATGTCACCCAGTCGAGCTCTAAACCATTGTTAGCCCACTGCCCCACAAATGTGGATGATACAGTCTATTTCCAATGTAAGCTCTCTGGGCCAGGGATTGTCTCTTGCTCTGTGCACCTGAAGGGTTAAAATCCATGTGCATTTTTTATAACAACCTGGTACATGGATTGTGCCAGCTCTTTTTCAGATCCAAAGTCCAGAAATAAGAGAAAAGCAGAATAAACAAGATGACATTGCCTTTGCTAAGATATGCTTGGTCAGTAGAAATGCCAGATGTTGAAGCAATAACTGAATAATGATGTTTCATCCAATGTTTCAGATTGAACAAATTGTTCCTATTGTGTCAGTCTCTTCTGTAAGGAACGTTCTTCCCACAGATACAGCCTTGAGTTTACTAAAATTGACACATGTCAGTATAATGATATGGCATCCTTCCACCTCCCTTCCCAGGGACCAATGCCCTGCCTTAAGACATAAAGGAGACAATCTGTATTATCATATCCTTTCACTGTTTCTTTGCTTTAACCCCTAGAAATGTACCTGTTGGACAATCAAAGGAGTTGCTCCATTCCTATGGACCCCAAATCAGAATTCAACATATATATGTTATACTAATAACATTTTTATCAAAGTATTAATTAAATGTTAACTTGCTAACTTGAGACCATGGGCGGAGACATTATGTAACCTTTTAACCTTTGGCTAATGTGCTATCTTGTCTTGCTGCAAAACCTATCCCGGGGTGTGGAACTGCCTACCCCGTCACTTTCCCCCGCCCATGGAAAATCTATATATTCTATTGTAATCAATTGATTGACAGTGTCACTGAGCCTTATAAGCCAGGTGACACTCCGCCAGCGCTGTGTGTAATAAACTCCTTTGCTTGACCTCTACACGGTGTGGATTTATGTCCTTCAGCACCTAACACAAGAGAGCCCCAGTCTCAGATGTGGCTTCTAGTTGCTACTGTAATATAAAGGATGAATAATAATGCTTATGTCACCGAAGGCCAGTGTGAAGGTATTCCATTATTTGGGTGGGCTAACTGCAGCACAGCCACCGTCTCAGATGTGGAGACGCATCGCCAGCAAAAGTATGCGGCTTGCATAGAGATTTGCTAAAACAAAAAGCAAAAATGAGCAATCAACTACATCAAGATGACTGTGAACATTTCTGGGAAGACATTTCTTTTAAAACAGCATAAACCCTTCCCACAGCAAGATCATCAACAACCACGTCTGAATAGTTCATTTCCTTCTCGTCACACAAACACTTTCTCAGTTCTTGGGCCCTTAATAGGCATGCGGAACTCCCCCTGAGTTTCACAGGAGCTATACCAGTATATCTGAGGGTGGCACTGCGACTCTTGTTAGCTGTGCAGTTCTCTGGTCGGCAGTATCTTTAAAATAATTGTCAGAAATTGTAGCACATATATTAATACAAATCAAGACATTAAACTGGAACACATTGACTGAAAATGTTGCACCCACATGATCGTTCCCTCCATATAGAAGTGTGACAGCCATTATCTTTACATACGTCGTTTACTGGAGCAGATCGGTATGCTACATTATATCAGTTGAAATTATATGATCTATTTAAAATGTGGGAAGTGGAGTGTTACATAATTTCTGATCATAATGTTAGACTGCACCACAAACACAACCCCCCAAGAATAGTAATAATGCAGACAGCAGCAAGTGTGCAAATCAGGGATTCTTTCTCACTGCTTGCATTGTTTGGTATTTTGTGAGCTCCATCTCTCCTGACAACAGCCAGGGCCGGCTCCAAGCACCAACGAAGGAAGCAGGTGCCTGGGGCAGCCAATAGAAAGGGGCGGCACTCCGTCCGTTGTTGGGGCGGCATGTCCGGGTCTGCAGCGGCAATTCGGCGGCGGGTCCTTCAGTGCCTTGCTTCCTCTTTAGCGGCACTTCGGCGGCAGCTCAGTCACTCCGCTCAATCGGGCTTTTCTTTTCTGTTTTTCTTCGCCGCTTGGGGCAGCAAAAAAGCTGGAGCCGGCCCTGACAACAGCTCATGTCTGAAGCTGCCTGAAGATCTTCTTTTCCTCTCTCAAGTCACATTCTGGGTTACCACACAACAGTGCTTTGGACTGATTTTTGTTTTGGGTTAAGAGATCATTTTTCATTTATCCAAATGACTTATTTCCAAAACATTGCTGGTTCCCCTTTGTTCTTGTCAAGGCTACTGATTTATTGCTAAGAAAGTACTATGTATCCAATGTTCAAGCACTCACTTCATTATGCCAAATTATTATCACATTTTATGAAAACTAAAGAATCTGTTTACATCTTTTTCAGAAATTAAATCATGGCTTGGTAACAGCTTTCAGTTCTTCAGTCTTCCTAACTGACCAGCAATACTTCTCCACCATCACTGAATTCCCACACCCACAATCCCAGCCACCTAGTCAACTACTTGGGAATCCCTCTTGCACCTCTATCTTCCCCTCCCCACCCCAACATCCTACTCCCTCTCTGTGCAGGATTTTAGACTTTTTCAAAGGGAAGAACAGCAAACACTGATGTGACTACCCCTTCTCTATCATGCTCCTCTCCATTCTTCATGCTCACACTGATGGTTTCTCACCTCCTGACCTAACCCCATCCTTTTGCAGCTCATTTCTCTGCTTGTCCACACCCTTCTACCACTCCTTCTCTTTACTACTTTTTCTCTCACGTCTCATCAGTTTCCCTCCTCTCACAATACAAGCAATGTCTGGTATGCCCTATTCTAATTAAAACCAGCCCTTGCCCCCAGTGGCATCTCTTAACTAATTACCTCAGCTGCTTTCACCTCCAATCCCATTGGATACACTGTCTACAACGGTTGGCTTGAGTTCCCCATATCCAACTTCATCCTGACCTCCTCAGAACGGGCTTCCATCCTCTCTACGCCACTGCACCTGCTCTCAGCATGGTCTCTAACAGTCTCTTCATGGCTAAATCTGTACTCCATTTTCATCCTTTTCAGCTGCATTTAACATCTTTGTTCATACCTTCCTTGGGTTTCACCATCCTGTCCTCCCATGGTTCTCCTCCTAACTCTGCTCATTCTTTCAGTGTCTCTTTTGGTAAGTCCTTCTCCCCTGTCCCATGTGCATCTTTCAGGGTCTATGCTGCTCCATCTAGTTGTGCATATATCGGCCTATGTAAATTCATGTTCTTACTACTGTTTTCCTCATTCTCCATCCCCTAGTCCTTCCAAGTGCTTGTTACACCCTTTTGTTGCATGTTGTTTAATTAGATTTTAAGCTGTTCCAAGAAGGTACCATCTTTTTCTCTTTGTACAAATACCCAGAGGGGTCCCATTGGGACCTCCATGTGCTACGGTAATGCAGATAATTAGTAATGATTATATTTAAAGGAAATGATCCCTAGGTAAAAAGCAACAGAGGATCCTGTGGCACCTTTAAGACTAACAGAAGTATTGGGAGCATAAGCTTTCGTGGGTAAGAACCTCACTTCTTCAGATGCAGGTCCCTAGGTAGACAGTAGTATTACCTGTTATGCACTGTAAGTTCTGTACTGCAGTTACAGTGCCTGCAATGTTATCTGAAGCATCATATATTCTGCCTGATGTCACTTCTCTTAGCATCTTGTTTGGGCTTTTCAGAGTTTGTTGCTGTCTCTACAGAGGGCTGAAGATCAAATGCTTCTGGGAGACCAAGGTACGCTACTCCCCTTTCCACAAGGGGGTCTTGTGCTCTGGCTTCAGAGAATATATTGCTCTGCAGTCTTAGGCTTCGTTTTCATGGCAGACTTAACACTGGTTCAGCTGTGGGTTTTCCCCTTAAGAAGCTCCACATTCATACATCCAAATGCCTTGATCTGTGCCATATGGCCAGGCAGCCAGCATGCCCTGAGGTACAGGATGGACCTAAAACAGCTTATTCTAAGTATTGCTAACCCAACATAACTGCAGTGAAAATGGTCAGCCACAGCCAGTCACCTGAATCAATACATGATAGTCCTCCAATCCCTTTCTTCAAGCCCCCTAGGCAACCATTCCTTGTGTACTGACTTGCCATCTACTTGTGCTCTAACCTCAAACCAGAAGTGGTCTCCTTTCTTATGCCTCTGCTGAGACTTCTCAGTCCCACACTGCTTGCAGCTGTTCCACCTTCACCCATCTCCAGTGTTTTATCCAGCAGAATAATGGCCAGTACTGGGCCCATGTATCAGCAGGCAGTCACCTGGCCAGAGACTGAAACCAGATTCTTGATGCTGCCTGGGGCAGAAGAAACAAAAAGCATGACTTTAACTCCTCTGAGAGGTCCCCCAAAATGTATGATAGACTATCTCAGCAGCTGCTGGCTGATCATGGGATCAAGTGGATCGGACAGCAGCAGTGCAGGGAGAAGATAAAGGGGCTCAAGGTGAGGTACTGGAAAGCTGTGGATAACTATAAGAAATCTGGTGCTGCCATGATGTCCTGTCCATCTCATGATTAAATGGATCATGTTCTGAGCAGCACCCTGAGCACAGAGACCCGTTTCAGCATGGACACACCTGTGGAGCTGGGACAGGTGTGCATTCAGAACTTGGATGTCAGCAAAGCAGGTGCTTTCCATCTCACCAAACAGCCATCCAGAGCTTGGGGGAACATCAGCCTCAGAGAGAGCTCTTCCTTGATCCGGACCAGGAAGAGCACAGCCAGGTGGAGGGGACCCAAATAGTAGAATCCAGGGAGGAATCTGCATCTCAACCAGGTAATATGGTTATTATTATGAAGGATATTGCAAAATATTTGGGCAGGTTTTACCCTATAATCCCAGCAGCTGCTTCAGTTGCGGGTAGACATTGTGCCATTATGCTTGTCCACACCTCTCCATCCCCAGCTTCCTTACTTCCCAACAATGCTACTTAAAATGGGGGACAAGAAAAAGACCTACAAACTGGCATCTTAGAGTGGCTGAATGCAGAAGCAATTTTTTACTGGAAAAGCACTTAATACAAAAGGAAAAAGCCCAGGCAAAATGTAATTTACCGTAACTCAATCCTTAAAGGCACTACTTTCCAAATATCTCCCACTAGGCAAAAGCTGATTTATTGCTGATCTTATCTGGGTTTATTTTTCATTCTGTAAATATTCCAGGTGGTCTCTGAGATTGCTTGGTAGGGCAAGCTTCCCACGCTTGTAACTTGCAATCCTTCTCCAGTCACTTATCTTTTCATCTGCCACAAGGAGAAAGATTTCCCATGAACACACGAAAGGTCTCCTCCCCAAGGCCTGAAATAAGTGGTCCTTCTATTCTGGAACCTGAAGCTGCATGACATGTAAGGCTGCACCAATCGGAAATGGGATTAATATAATCACCATTGCTATTCTCTACCTCCCAGCACCTGAACCACACCCCCATCTTCAGCTCTCTTTCCCAAAAAGAGCACCTCACAGCAGGCAGAAATGTGCTGGCTGAGAGAATCAGCAACAAGAACAGTATCCTTTTGACGAAAGTTGTTACTACTTAGTTGCAGCTGCATACTGTGAGTACGAAATTATAAGGAGTCATATTATTCAAACTTTTTTTTCTTCTTTTTGTCAGGACCAAGTGAGACAGTATTAGGGTCAT